AACGTACCACCAGCAACCGGAGGAAACGTACCACCAGCAACCGGAGAAAACGTACCACCAGCAACCGGAGGAAACGTACCACCAGCAACCGGAGGAAGTGAACCACCAGCAACTGGAGAAGATGTACAAGAACAATCTGATAAAGAGGTAACAGTGAAAATGAAGAAATAATAAAAACATTAATAATTTCTTCAACAGAGAATGTATAAAATTAAAGATGAAGTTCCAGCAGCCACAGCAAAAGCACTAATAGTGCCCTTTAACATTTTAGCTACACTTATTGCTTATGGGAGATTGCTGGACACTGGGAAATTTGTTAAAAAGAGTCAGTTTTACTTACTTTTCATCTTAATTGGATATGCTATATTTGTTGCAGTTTATGTTATAGCAACATTGATAGTTATGGGCGTAGTTTATTGCAAAACAGATAAAAAGGAAACCGCAAAACATATGCTCTGGTTTCTCTTTTACCTTTTCACAGCTTTTGGTGTAGCTGCTGGATACTTTGCAGGTGATAACATAACTGATGCCATGACTCTTGATACTGAAGAAGATATAGATCTAACAGTAATATCAATTTTAATACTCCTTGGTGCAAAATTAGGATCCTACATAATTCCATATTTAGTAAAATGTGGCAAAAGTTCTGGTGAAACTGTGTACCTAACATGTTCAGATTGTTGTGACAAAAATATAAGTTGGCTAGAGCCGAGTTCCCCTGACAATTGCTCTAAGTGTCAGGATTGCCCCTGCAGAAAGGATAACCCACCAAATCCCATAAAATTTTATGAATTGACTTTTTATGCCCTAGTCCTGACCATAGCTATCATCCAAGAGATCGATATAACATATAAAATACTTCAGAATTTCGTTAGCCTCACAAGAAATATGTGTCGTACAAGAAAATACAATACACTGTGGGGAATTTATTGTGGTGTATTAATCATTGTTATATTTGAAATCGCACATGGAATTTTGGAAGTGATTAATATTTACATAAAAAACAAAAAAAATGCTGAAAAGAAAAATCAGAAACAAGAAGTAGAGTGCGGATGGATATGGGTTCTTTATTTTATTATTGTAGCAGGCCTTGCAATAATAATTAATGCATTTTTCTTTGTTGCTGATAACAAGCTACCACTGGATTGCTCATCACACTTCTCAATGACAACCCCTAGTACAAATAACCCCTCGAGGATCTTAACAGTGCCCAATAAACCTAACTACGAACTAAGAGTGTCATTCTTAGTTTTTTCATTGGCATTCTCAATAATTTTATTAGTTATTGGAATAGCCAACTGGTCATATTTCCTATATCGGTATTACAATGAACCACAAAAGAAAAACACTACAATTAATTAATTAATGCAAAGTAACAGTTTTTACCAGTGTGAAACTTTACAAATTATTTTTTTGAAACTATTTTTTGAAATGACCTTTTCTACAAATTTCTAATATTATATTGTTTCTTCTCAAAATGTTGTACAACATTAGTTTTGTAATAATTAATTATGTTAAAGAGAAGTTTTTCTTAATGCTTTATGTTGTGTTGGGGACGTTTTGAGTGCTCGTTATACGCAATAGAGAGGTGGTTGTTCTTCAGGGGTTGCCTTAACAGGCAAGTAAGTGTAGTTTGCATCCGGGCCTAGACATTTGGCCGTTATATGATAGACGGCCGTTACTTAGGGGTGATCGTTAAGCGAGGTTCCACTGTAGTGCCAATTAAGTACCAA